AAACGCCCAAACACAACCCACCACACAAGCGCGCAAACGCACACACACACACACGCACAAGCGCAGACACACACACACACGAGCGCAAACACGCACAAACATACAACCAAACACAGACAATCGCACGCGCACAAACACAGACACACAAAAACGAACGCACACAAACACACACACACACACGCAGAAACCTACACACAAACACACAAAGCATACAAACACACACGCAAACACCAAAACACACACAAGCACAAACACAAACACACACAGACACACAAAACACACAAACACACAAGCGCAAGCGTGCGCACACGCACACATGCAAAAACAGTCACAAACACACACAGACACACACAAACACACGCACACACACAAACGCACACACACACACACGCATACACAACCACACAATGACAAGCGCAAGCGTAAGCGCCAACACACACAACATCACACACGCAACACACAAACACACACACACACACAAGCCCACACACAAACACATAAACGCACGCAAACGCACAAACGCGCAAACACAAGCGCGCACAAACACGCAAACACACGCACAAGCACAGACAAACACACACACACACCGAACACAGGTAAGCGCACGCGCACAAACACAGACACACAAAGACAATTGCACACACACAAACACACAGAAACGCACACAAATACACAAAGACAAGCGCACTCGCACGCACAAACACACAGAAACACACACAACACACACAACACACACAACACGCACACACACACACACGCAACACACACACACAACACACAACACACAACACACAACACACAACACACAAAACACAACACACAGCACACAACACACAACGCGCAACACACAACACACAACACACAACACACAACACACAACACACAACACAACACACGACACACAACACGCAACACACAACACACAACACAGCGCACAACACACAACACACAACACGCAACACACAACACACAACACACAACACACAACACACAACACACCACACACCACACGCAACACACAACATGCAACGCGCAACACGCAACACACAACACACAACACACAACACACAACACACAACACACAACACGCAACACACAACACGCAACACACACCACACAACACACAACACACAACACACAACACGCAACACACACCACAGCACACAACACACAACACACAACACGCAACACACAACACAACACACAACACACAACACACAACACACCACACACCACACACAACACACAACACACAACACACAACACGCAACACACAACACGCCACACACAACACACAACACGCAACACGCCACACACAACACGCAACACGCAACACACAACACACAACACACAACACACAACACGCAACACGCAACACACAACACACAACACACAACACACAGCACGCGACATGCAACACGCAACACACAACACGCAATACGCAACACGCAACACACAACACGCAACACGCAACACGCAACACGCAACATGCAACACGCAACACGAAACACACAACATGCAGCACGCAACACGCAACACGCAACACACAACACACAACACACAACACACAACACACAACACACAACACACAACACACAACACACAACACGCAACACACAACACACAACACACAACACACAACACACAACACGCACCACACAACACACATCACGCAACACACAACACACAACACGCAACACGCAACACGCAACACGCAACACACAACACACAACACACAACACACAACACACAACACACAACACACAACGCACAACACACACCACACAACACACAACACACAACACACAACACGCAACACACAACATGCAACGCGCAACACGCAACACACAACACGCAATACGCAACACGCAACACGCAACACACAACACACAACACACAACACACAACACACAACACAACACACGACACACAACACGCAACACACAACACACAACACAGCGCACAACACGCAACACGCAACACGCAGCACGCAACATGCAACACGCAACACGCAGCACACAACATGTAGCACGCAACGCGCACCACGCAACACGCAACACGCAACTCACAACACACAACACGCAACAGGCAACACACAACACACAACACACAACACACAACACACAACACAAGACACACCACACAACACACAACACACACACAACACACAACGCACAACACACAACACACAACACACAACACACAACACACAACACACAACACACAACACACAACGCACAACACAACACACAACACACAACTCGCAACACGCAACACACAACGCACAACACACAACACACAACACACACAACACACAACACACACACACAACACACACACAACACACAACACACAACACACAACACAACACACACACACACACAACACACAAGACACAACACACACACAACACACAACACACACAACACACACAACACACACACACAACACACACAACACACACAACACACAACACAACACACAACACACAACACACAACACAAGACACACCACACAACACGCAACACGCAACACGCAACACACAACATGCAACACGCAACACGCAACACACAACATGTAGCACGCAACGCGCACCACGCAACACACAACACACAACACACAACACACAACACACCACACACCACACACCACACACCACACAACACACAACACAACACACAACACACAACACACAACACACAACACACACAACACACACAACACGCACACACACACACACACACACACACACACACACACGCAAACACACACAGACAAAAACCGTCACACACACACAAAGAGGCACAAGCACACACACACACAAACAGACAGAACATTGGGGGGGTTTGCAAGCACGAGCTTGTCCAACGAAAGAAATGGATTGCTCTTATTGCAAGTTGGGCTGCGCAATGTTTTCCACGACTCCAGGCCAAGGCTGGCGCGAAGTTCGGTCAAGCTGCGGGCCGAGCTAGCGCCTGGTTGGTGCAAGTCCCCTAAAGCCTGAAGAGGAAGCCGCAAAAAGGACCATTGGTTTCCTTCTCACTTCCCACGAAAACCAAACACACCTATTTGGAGTGGAGGGATTTCGAGCTAGTTTTTATTCTGAGGCCGCAAGCATCTCCGGGCACATGGCGTCCTTCTCTTCCGCCTCAGAGCAGGTGGAGCCGGGACGTTTTTTTGGCCTTTTGTTCCTCACGGTGCTGATCGGTTGACAGTCAGGATTGGCTTGTGACTCGAGTTTGGACCGTCTGTTTCTGGGGACGCTGAAAAGAACGCCATTAGGAATTATTTTGAGTTTTGCTCTGTAGCAATGTGGCTGTCGCTGCTGAGGCCTTTGTTTTCCCAGCCTTTCTCACTCAGGCGCGTCGGGTGTGCACCAATTGGTTCCTCCAGTTGTACCAATGCCACCAGTGATGGGCAAGCTGAAAACTGGACAGGCATTATTTTCCACAGCCGATCCTTGGCGACTTCTGCTTGGCAGTGCTCTTTTATTTCAAACACTAAATGCTCCTCACAGAAAAACCAAGTCAGCTGAGCACGTGCCTTGAATCAGAGCCATGGGTAGGTTTTACATACAGTCTTGCTCCACAGCCAGACTGGACTTCACATTGCAGTGAAGCAACATCCCATGCTTCCTACAATGTTGGATTGGCCTGGCTTTGGATTGAAGCGCCGGACCCGCTGAAAACTATTCCCTTCCGGCATGCAGCCACTAGCGGGCCATGCCGCAAAAGGCCAATGCTGTGCAGGCGCTGTTCTCCTCCCCCCCTTTCCAGCCATTCGGAGCTTTGAATTTCCCTGCCAGGTTTGTCCCATAACGACCTGAACAGACAGGCGCCGAGATGCCATCGCCATGCGACATAATGCAAGGTTGCAGATGTTGCCGCACAGTCGACTGTTTTTAGGATAAACATGAAACATCGTTTCAACAATGCAATCTCGGGGGTCTGCTGTGTTTGGAATTCTATTTGACATGCCTGTTTACTCTGCCTTCAAACACCCGAGGATCTCAAAAGGACTCAAACAGGCTCATAGCTGGAAGTTTCCAGCTGCAAGTTGCCAAGAAGTTTTGTTGGGGTGCGAGTCTCTCATGACTCTTTGCAAGCTCGAGTTGGGAAAAGAGCTTGGGTTTTTCTGAGCTGGGAGGAATTTCGTCCGCTGTGACATCTGAGATGGAGCGCAGCAGTCCGACTTAGATGGAATTTTCAATACTTTGCCACGAATCACAGATCTCTGCATTTCCTGCCGGCAATGCCCCACTGAACCCCAACCATGGGACTCAGTTGGGGCCATGTCGGCATCTAGGGAGCAATGACATCCCGGAGCGGTCAGAGCTAGGGAGCAATGACATCCCGGAGCAGTCAGCATCTCCATACGAGAGCTGCTAGCTCTTGATTTCTATCGTAGTTTGGCCTCAATTCATGCAAAGTAATAAACAGCAGCCGTGTCGGCAAGTTGCATTTCAGAAGATGCATGTCCGCAATCAAGGACCGACGCGGCAGAGGCCCGCCACGGGAGAGCTGGGCATGTCGTGAGATTAACCCTAGCCGTTCCTTGAAGCACCAGTCGGGTGAAAAGCCAGATAGCTGCCGTTCCCAAGCTATCCTTGCTTGTGGCATGTCAGGGAACATCTGCAGTCCAACCATTCTCACAGCCTCCCCCACCCGGTTGTCTCAGGAGCCTTAGATGGTTGTGCGCTCTTCTCTTCCTCTCTTAGCTGATGCCATGCTGTGCAAATGAAAGGCATGCCAGACCCTGGATTTGGGGCTTAGTGGCCGCTGCAGCTGCAAATTCTCGAGAATACAAGGTTTGTGGCAAGGACGGGAAACCTGCTGCGGGCGTGGGTACGGTTTACTTTACATATCTTACATATTATTGGTTTGGCAAACCTGACCAGACCGCAGCGGCTGTGCGACCTGTTGTTGGCAAACTCTCGGCCACACTTGGAAAGGACTTCTTGAGGGACTCAGTCATCTTAAAAGGTGTTAAGGGAATCACTGCGTCTCTGACATTTCTGCTCGCTATGGTGCGATGGATTCGCTGCTTTGATGCCCATTGACATCAACTCGCTGCGTGTGGACAGGCCCTGATTTTTCGTATTATTCGATGAGTGGTGGCATAGTTCCGGCTTAAAAAACCGAGTGTGTCTTGCTTGATTGACAAGCATAGCAGTTTTTCTCCTATCACCTGACTATTGTTCAGATCCGCTGTTGGACGTTGTGCGGCCTCTGCCTGCCTCATGCGCACATGTATGTATATATATATATATATATGTATATCTATCTATCTATCTCTCTCTCTCTCTCTATATATATATATACACATCTGCCCGCGCCATGGTCCGCCAGCAAGCAAGCCCGCAAGCACGCAAGCAAGAACGCGAGCAGCACGCAAGCACGCATGCAAGGACGCAAGGAAGCAAGCAAACATACAAATCTACCCACATATAAACGAACATACACACCTACCCGTTCTCGCACGGCTGTGTAATTCATGGCATAGACACATGGCAATTGCTTTCGGCTGATATTTCCAAGTCGTCCTGGTTTGTCTTCCCAGGGGTGGGGATCCAGATGCCGTACGAGAAGCGCAGCGGAGTCGCTTCAAGGCAGATGAGCTTCTTGCCCTGAAATCAGTTCAGCGGAATGTGGATTCTGGGACATGTGGGCCCCGAGAATCCAACGCTTGCAGCCTTCCGAATCCGAGTGCGATTGTGATGGTGCCATGAAACAGAAGGTTGTTGCAGAAGGGGCGTTGCACTCTGTTATATAGACTCCCCAGCTTGCTTCTTTTCGCGCTTGCTTTTGCCCTAAGTTGGAACCAACCTACTGATTGCGTGTTTTTATCGTTTTTGGCGGGCAAAGGCGCGTGGATGGAGTTCTTCAATTGGACAGGTGTCTTGGCGGAACTGGATTTGCCACTGAAGTCAGATGGCCGGTGCTTAATTCAAGCCGCATTCGTCAAGTTGCTAAGGCTGTGGGTTCTTTGTTTCCTTTAGCCTCTTGCTAAGTCATCACAGTTGCTGAGACGACCACAAGAGTACACGTCACGGCATTGGTTTGTTTATCCTGAGATGCTGCGATGCTAGCCTAGAACTCTCAGCGTTTGTCAGGCAATGGCGCGAGTGCATCACCAGCATCCTGGATTCACTAGCATGGTGTTAGCTTGCTTGGGCACATTTACACTGCCAACATCGCAAGAGGCCATGAACTAGATGTCACAGGCATGGTGGCGAACCCTTTAATCAGGATTTACGACGCTATCACCATCGACTATAGCAGATTCGCTCAGAGATCCCATGAGTTTTGGTGCCGCTCAGATGCTTTGGTAGGTGGATTGTATGTTTCAGGCACTCGGGATCTGCAGACTCGCTTGGGAGTGCTGCAGAAGGAGCTGGAGAGCTTGGTTCTGATTAAAGTGTTCAATTGATAGCAATAGAGAATCTGCGTCAGCTTGTACATGCCAATGCTAAGGCAATCTGCCTGGAATGTTTGTGATAGTTTGGCGCTTCTGATGGTACAATTGCGACTGCCACTGTTTCTTTCTCCACTGTTTCTTTCTTGCCTAGGCTTCAATTTCGTGCTGGCGTGAGTGTGAACCGCCTCTCGAAAGAATCTGGGGAGGAGGTGATCGCGCCCAAGAAGAAGAAGCAGCTGCCTTGCGAGGCGGAGGTGGCTGAGGCCAATGAGCTGCGGCAGCAGCTGAGGCAGCTGGAGCCCGGGGCCGAGTCGTTTTTTTTTTAGCTTTTCCACGGTTAAGCGACATTTCATTTTTCTACAAATTGGTTTGTAAAGGGGTTTGCCCATACCCCTTCGATAAGGGATTGAAGGGGTTGTTGACGCGGGTAGTAACCTGGCACTTTTTCGGCACAAACGTTCGACTGTCCAGCCTGTCGGCCGGCCAGGGTTTTGGGCTGTACTCTTCCTTGTTTCGGGCAGTCCTCCGCTTCTCACCGTCACTTTTTTCCCAACAAGTTGGCAAAGAATCTTTTTAAGAGGACGGTAGTCTTCCAAAATCATAGAGAATGCATGAAGTTCCTTAGGCTGTCCACTAGGAAGTGAGGCCCTGCGGCCCTCCCCCTTTCGCACTCAGGTCTGATGCTGTGAGATTGGAGCAGGAGCGTGATGAGCTGCTCAGCCGCCTGGGCACCGTGGCATTCCGATTCAGTCCCCAAGTGCTCGCGTTTCCAAGACCGGTGTCGAACATCGGCGCTCGGTGGCAGTCACTCTGCGGCGCAGTTCCTCGTCTTGTGGGGTTTGTTCCTGTCATCCAGATTTTGGTTGCTTTTGTTTTGGTTTTGGACCCAATCAGGCCTTGAGCTTTATCACTACCTGAGCCCATGCAAAATAGGAGCTGTGCAGACTACAGGTTTGGTTGTTAAAAAACAGCACTTGCACTTGTTGTAAACAGCAGTTTGGCTTTAACGAGAGAGAGAGAGAGAGACGGCACGCAACGAGGCAACTATGTCGATGCCTCGGTGCCTGTGTCCAACGATGAGGACCACAATCAGGTGCCAGTCTCACTCGCAACATGTGGGTTTGTTTCCAAATGGGATTTGCGCCCTTTGTCTTGCCCCCCTCCCCCTCTTGTGTTTTGTTTCTCTGCCACATTATCTTTTGGGGTGCCATAAGAGGACACAATGTTGGCCCGACGCAGGTGATTTCTATGTGGCCAACGCCGGGGACCCGACGGCTCACGGAAGGCAGAGCCAGAGTGATGGCTGAGGCATCCCCCTGAGACGGGCCCAATGACCCACGATGAGCTGCTTTGGCGCCACTGGGCCGGAGTTTCAAGTGCCAGGGATATCACTCGCGTTGCAATGCATCAGGTGCATTTAGGAGAGAAGAGGGGATCCGCAGGATTAGTGCGTGCCTTTTGCAGTCTTCAGGTAACATGTTTCTGGATCCCCTACAAGATCCCGGCTAAGAGGGACCTATAACGGTCAGGGTATCGCTTGTGTCCTCGGAAATCTTGTCGCTTGTGTCGTCTGTGAAACCTTGCGAAGCTTCTGCGCCCAAGAATCATTTCATGTGCACTTGAAATCCTGGTTGTGAGCCATGTGAATCTTGCATGCTTGTAGGGCTTGGGCCAGCCCAGTTCAACAGACAACAGTGCGCGCCGCTTTGGATGGTATCAGAGCACCTGGGAAAGAGTGCGTCCTACGTCACTTTTGTGTGCTGGACACCTATACAGACACAAGTTGCTTTCTGCTTGAGCAGCTGGTTGGGTTCTTTTGAGGGTTGCCTACAAAACCTCGGCTTCCACTGCTTGAGTATTTCTTGCAATACCATGCTTGCGTTCTTTTCATGTTAGCAGCTGTCGGGAAACCGAATGATGTTCAATAATGAAACGCTTGAAGCCGAGCAGGCTAAATGGCCGGAGTGGTCCAGAGAATGCGAAACTGGATTTGCATTTTGGAGCGCGTACAGAATAGAGCTGGATGCAGCAGAGCGGCATGCCGAGCCAATCTCTCTTGACCACCTCACTGGAACAGCGCAGGAGTATTCGCTTGGGTTGTGCTCTATCTTGGATAGTTTCATCGCTGGTCGGTTTGGCAAACTGTTACACAGCATTTCGCAAGGACACCCCTTCGAAGGAAAGCAAGGCCAGCCAAAATGAGCTTGATTCTACTGTGGCATTTCTGGCCACCATGAAGCCCAGTGCCGAAAGAAGGAAGTGCCTACCCCGTTGAGTCTCCTTCTGTGTTTGATCCTAGCAGTCGTGTCAGCCAAGACAGGCGTGTGTTTGTCGTGGACCTGAAGGTGCATTCCATGCAGGATGCTTCCACAAAGACGTGGAGGATTTACCACCCCGTCCAGTCGAACAGCAACCTGCTTGTTGCTCTCTCTCTCGCTCTCTCTACGCCTGCTCCGTGGGTCTGTCTCTGTGTGTGTGTGTGTGTGTGCGGAGTGACAGAATACCCTGTCACCACCTTGGGTTGTTTTCGGAGGCAGGGGGCACGGCAGCTCATTCTCTAGCCGTGCCAACGAAGCTGTGAGAATGAGCCGGAAGGGAGTTTGGACGCAAACTCCTGTACCTGCAAGTGATTCTGAATGTCCTTTTGGCCCTTGGTTGCGGCGCTGTTTGTGCTTCTTGTTCTTTCGGGTAACGTGTTCGTTGCTAAATGGAAGCCAAGTGATTGCAAGTCGATCCTACTCGAAACTCATCAGTTGTACTCGAGACTCATCAGTTGTACTCGAAAGATTAGCACTCTCCATTTGGAGTTCAAGTGTGTACACCCCATTCGTGGGGAATCCTCGGGTGTACCCATTGTGTGACCCCGGGCCGGCTCTGTCGGAAAATTTGACCTCAACGTGCTTATCATAGAACAGCGGAATGCCACATTTAACCAGGAACGAGGTTTCACTAAAGGGAAGACAGCGATCAGACCATAGTGACGTCTCACCTCAGCTGCTGGCTGCCGACTTTCATTGCATTGGCTTACCATTGGTTGAACTTGTTGCTCGTATCATAGCGGTTGAAGATTGCTGACTTGTGTTTGCTTTGCCTTGTAAATGTCGGCCTACCTTTTGTCGGATCCATTTCATCGACCATCGCAGCTGGGGACCGTTGACTTGCATCTGCATTGATTTGCATGTTTTCGGATCCGTCTCTCTCAAGGTGGAAGTGTGAAGATTCAGAGTCGTTTGCGTCACCATGTCTCGACGTGATGATCGTGATAGATCCAGGACTCGGCGCAGACGCGACCGGAGTACCTCTCCCCAAGCTCGCAAAGCACACCGGCATGAACACAATGACCGCCACGTCTCGGAGGGCATGGATTGGATGGAACAACCTGGTATCTTGGCAACACAATTCTGGCTACAACTCCGCCAACAATTTCCCCATGATGTCCACCAATTTTCAATCGATTCCTAGTCCCACACAGCAGTTCCAACATCCATCGATCAACTACATGATGCCGATTCCTCCACGTCAACGAAGTTCATGCCGTCCGTGATATCACCACCGGTCACTACTTCTCAACCTTTACCGCCACCTGGACCTCCTGCTGCTCTACCGGTTCTGGCTTACACCATCACCTGACTGGACACCTGGAGATGGCATGTTAGATGTCAATCAGCTCTACAACTTCAGCCTGCCCATGACGGTTGCCAACACTCCTCATAGCAACCAACGCGACATGTCGGGCATGGACATTCGTGACGTTCGCCTGATTCAGGTTATTCATGGGGGCCTCACCAACTGGCTACTCCGACCGTTTGCTCACGGTAGATTCGTGACGTGGGAAGGCTTTACCGAGGCCTTGCTTTGGAGTGCCTGTTCCAAACTATTACGGCGATCGCAGTCGATCAACCTGCTCACCCTGGAAAAGGACCTTGCCAATTCGCTGGGACTCAACCTCGATGACTTCAATCAGCGGATCAAGGTTCATGACCAGTTGGCCAACTTGGTACTCCAATTTCTTCAACAACACCACGCCTCTCTCACGCCTCCCACCCAGACAGATGACATGGTCAAGAAGTACAATGATCTAAATCGTGCTCATGAACTGCTCCAGGCTCAGTATTCAGCCTCGCTTCGCGCTTCGACCTTTTTTTACGGTGGCAAGCCAGAAAGATGATGCAGAATTGGTCACACCGCCACCGGTCAACCACACACAATCCTCATCGCCTGCCAGCTCCCTCCCTACGGCCAGCGCAGCGGCCCTTGATGGCAAGTCGTTTGATAGCGCGGTGCAGCCCCGGATCATTCAGTCTCTTCACGGAGTTTCTTCGCCACCGTCCAAGCCGGCGGCCTCTCAATTGCTCACCATGCACAGCACGCCGGAAGAAGTTGTCAAGTACTACACATGGACCAGTGACCAGCCACGCTTGTTTCTCAAGCAATCGCCCACAACCACAACTTTGACGTCACTGGTCAAGTGGGCCAATCACCCGTCCCGGCTCAACGGCAACAAGTCATTGGATTCCATGGCGACGCAACTCCTCCAGGCGCGTCAGCACATGCCACAAGGCGACGCACCCACTCTCGGGGCGATGGCGGCTTCGTGGGGACTGGAGCCCGGCTATCTCACCAAGCTCACTGAGAAGTCGCTGAGTCACCTCATCGTGACCGCTCGCCTACTCAGCGGATGAGCAGGCACCTTGACGAACTTCGTTCAATTATGAGCCCGGAGCGGCAGCCGTGTCACGAAGGAGTCGAGGTTTAAAACTCGTTCGGCATCTTCTTGCTTTGCATTAGTTTGATCTTGTGCTTGACTGTGCTTGCATTGTCTTGTGCGTGATGTTCTGTGCAGCTTGTATTCATGTCGCCGCCTCACGGTAGATTTCATTGGTTGCATGTTCACCATGTTGGCTGAGCTTCGCCGCTGTGGAATCTATGATGATGTTGCACAATGGCAGTCCCTGGACAACTTTCTACACTCGTTGACCATGTTCTCTACGTGCTGGCAATACTGCTTCCCTGGACTACCACTACCGGTCGATACCAGCCGATCAGTATGCATCAATCACGCAACTACCGTGGTTGGGCCTCATTCTGGAGGGTCTTAGTTGTGGTCCGGATTGCCCTTCAGATTCCGAATCACGCTATGTCGCATTCTCAACATACTGTGGCCAACAGGTATGAGCTCCACAGATGTCGGTGCACCGCCTATTTATTGATCAGTTTCTTGCAACGTCTCATCTCTCAAGATCACGGCTACTTCCCACCGTTCTTTGAAGTTCTTCACTTCTACAAGACATCTCTCTTGTGTGAAATTATGCACTCCACTTTCGCAGACACGAGACATCTTCGCTCATTGCGGACACGGTTTCCGGACCTCTATGACTTCATTCACGATCCAGGTCATCACCAACAACCGTGCGTCTACATCCGACTTTCTCCATGGCACACGCCTTACTACGTTGGTGCGACTGATCAGGACGTTCTTCGACGTGAACACTCACGCAGTCGCAAATTTCTACAACTACTCCGGGGACGTCATGCCTTCTTCGAACCCGCGCTTCACTACTGGAAGCGCTCCAATACTTACTGGCTTTTCTGTACAGTTCCGGTTGAGATTAAACTTCCCGTTTCCTCGGTTTGGGTCCAAGAAAGCAAATGGCAATACCTGCTACGTCCGCATTTGAATGCGCCCTGGGTACATAGACTTCTACGAAAAGTGGGCTTCCGGGAGCATCTCGTTGATTTTCGACGTCATTCGTTGTCGTCTCCCACCTCCCTCGGTTTACACAAGCGCTTTCGTCGACGACTACATCCGGATCTTCAACGGCAATTACGACCAGACATGTTGGATGACATTCAAGCACATTACTCGATTCTCTATCAACTGGGATCCAATACAGGCGCATCGTTCCAAGCCATGCGTGACCTACTGTCGGCGGCTTTTTCCTCCCACTCAGCTTTACTACTTTCTGCGACTCTCCGTCTTTGTCAACGAGCCCTTTCGCTCCAAGGCACAGAAACTCCTCGCCCAGGTGTTCCGCAAACGCCAGCTACGGTCACCCAGCACTTTGACACAACTACTTCTACCGCCTCTACATGTCCGGAATTGGAAAGCTCAACTTGGCACATGGTTACAAAGCTGGATTGCTTCTCATCGTGACCTGTTTCCCTCCCTATTCCTTCCAAAGATCCGAGTGGTGGAAACCCGCAGCGCCACGTTGGGCGACAGGATCTACAACTACCGCACATGGCAACGCAGATGGACTCCTGAGACATCTTTTCCGTGTCGCTGTTTGGACATTGATGATCACCACCTACACCGTGCACATGAACATGCTGTAATGGTAGATGAGTTCTCACG